GCTTTCTTATAGAACCCAGGACCACCAGCCCAGGGGTTTCCCCACCCTCAGTGGGCTGGGTCCTCTCCCATCAATCATTAATTAAGAAAATGCCTTACAGCTAGATCTTTTGGAGGCTTTATCTCAGTTGAGGTCCCCTCCTTTCTAGTTTGTGTGCCTAGCCGACAGAAGAATAGCCACCTCAGAGTATGAGAGAAAAACAACCAGGGCAGGAGAGCTGTAAATCCTGGCCAGTGTTGGGAAGAGCAAAGTTGAGAGAAATCATGCTTTTTCGATTTGGCACAGAGGTCAGAGAAACAGTGAGAAAGGCCAGAGAGGCAGAGAACATGTTTAGACCTTGGCCAGGAATAGAAAAACAGGTCAAGGAAAAGGAAACGCATGCTTAGTGCCTGCCCTTGAATCTGAGTTCAGAGTGCATCCTATTCCAGGCCTTTTAAAAAATTTTTTTTCTCTCATACAATTTCCCCTCCCTCCACTCCTCGCAGTTCCCCTCCCTGTCTTAGAGTTTCTGTTGCTGTGAAGAGACACCATGACCACAGCCACTTTTATAAAGGAAAACATTTAATTGGGGTTGGCTTACAGTTCGGAGGTTTAGCCAGATGTGATGCTGGAGAGGCGGCTGAGAGTTCTGCATCCTGATCTGCAAGCAGCAGAAAGAGACTGTGTCAACACGGAGCACATGAGACTTCAAGCCTGCCTCCACAGTGAGGCTCCTACTCCAACAAGGCCACACCTCCTAATAGTGCCACTCTTTATGGGCCTATGGGGGCCTTTTTCATTCAATACCCCCCACCCGGCCCAGAAGTGTTACAGCTCTGAAGGGAAAGGTATCCTGGCAGTCAGGAGCCAAGGAATACCACAGAGTCATACCACATAACAAACCTCACACAAGTGATTTATTGGGAAAGTCACAAAAGGGTGGCTGCCTCTGCTTGGGAGAGAAGCAGCAGAGACCTGAGCAGGAGGCAGGTTTTTATAGGGTTTCTTTGGGGGAATGGAGCTTTCTAGGGTGGCCTGGAATTGGTGGGATTTTGTGACCCGGTCTTGGGCTTTTTTTTTTCCCTGTAGGGTGGAGCTTGGCTGCCCTTGTCTTGAGGGGCTGGAGCCAGCCATTAAGACCCTGAGGATAGCTGGGCGGTGGTGGCGCACGTCTTTAATCCCAGCACTCGGGAGGCAGAGGCAGGCGGATCTCTGTGAGTTCAAGGCTGGGCTGGACCGATAGCCTCCAAAACAATACAGAGAAACCCTGCCTCATAAAAACCAAAATAAATAAATAAATAAATAAAAGATCCCGAGAATAGCCTGGGGAAGAGCCTTGCCACTCACATGCCTTGAGGGGCTTACACCCCCCCCCCAATTTTTCTCTCCCCCAGATCCACTCCTCCTGTTTTCCTTCAGAAAAGAGCAGGCTTCCCAGGGATATCAACCAAACATGGTATATATAACACGTTACAGTAAGACTAGGCACAAACCCTCATATCAGTGCTGGGTGACACAATCCAGTAGAAGGAAAAGGAATCCAATAACAGGTGAAACAGCCAGAGACACCCCCACCTCCACTGTTAGGAGTCCCACAAAAACACCAAGCCAACATCCATAACATATTTGCAGAGGACCTAGGACAGACCTATGCAGGCTCTGTGATTGCAGTTGTCTCTGAGGGCCATGCTCTCCTGGTGTCCTCAACCACTCTGCCTCCTATAATTTTTTTCTTCCTCCCACTTCCTTGGGGTTCCAGTGCTTGAGGGGGAGGGACCTGATGGAGATATCCAATTTGCACTCTCTCTGGGCCTAATGATTGGCTGTGGATCTCTGCATCAGTTCCCATTAGCTGCGGGAGGGAGCCTTTCTGATGGCCACTGGGCTAGGCACCAGATCTATGAATATAGTAGATTGTCATTAGGAATCTTTTTGTTTTTTCTTTTTTCTTTTTCCTATCCTAGTTCTCAGGGATATCAAGCCTCCGATTCCTAGTCAATCAGGCAGTTTTGGGCATGGGCTTCATTTCTTGGTACGGATCTCAAAGTAGACCCGTTATTGGTTGGCCACTCCCACAAACCTTGTGCCTCAGTTGTCCCCGCGCATCCTGCAGGCAGGCTAGATTACAATCTACAGGTCAAGGATTTTACAGCTGGGTTGGTGTCCCAATCCTACCACTGGAAGTTATGTTACAAGACTGAGGATTGCACCACAGATGCAGGGTTAGAAATAGAAGCACTGTGCTTTGCTTTTGTTTTTTTCCGAGTCAGGGTTTCTCTGTATTGTTTTGGAGGCTGTCCTGGAACTCGCTCTGTAGACCAGGCTGGCCTCGAACTCACAGAGATCCGCCTGCCCCTGCCTCCTGAGTGCGGGGATGAAAGGCGTGCACCACCAACGCCCGGCTTGTTTTTGGTTTTTTTTTTTTTGGTTTTATGAGACAGGGTTTCTCTGTTTTGGAGGCTGTCGGTCCAGCCTGGCCTCGAACTCACAGAGATCCGCCTGCCTCTGCCCCCGAGTGCTGGGATTAAAGGCGTGCGCCACCAACGCCCGGCTGTTTTTGGTTTTTTAAAGGAGGTGCAGCACCCACTGTTGTTAAAATGTCTAGGTTCCCGGTCAGGGAACCAATGTTGTTAAAATGTTGAGGTTCCTGGTCAGGGAACCAATGTTGTTAAAATGTCTATGTTTACCCAGTAACGAGACACAAACTGTGACTCAACGATCACACGTGGAGTTTATTGGTAGACAGGGAGGGAAAGGGGGGGTGAGAGGTAACCAGCCTGTGCAGAGCTGAGAGAGAGATAAGATATGAGAGAGAGAGAGAGAGAGAGAAAGAGAGAGAGGGAGGGAGGGAGGGAGGAAGGGAGGGAGAGAGGGGAGGAGGGGAGGGAGGGAGGGAGACGGAGAGAGAGAAGATGAGATGGAGAGAGAGGAAGGCAAGAGTAAGAGAGCATAAACAGGCAGGGGTCAGTCCTTCAAAGGGGTCCTTTGCACCTGCGTGGTTCTCATGGAACTCTGGGCTGACCACAGTGCTGCTTGAGTGTATCCTGCCAGGTAACAGGGCAGGCCAGCATAATGCCTGAACCTTTCACCCACTTCTCCCAGGTTTGTATAGCATCATTTCTTCCTGATTATGCTGTTGTTACACAAATCCTGGGAGTGGGGTTGGGGGGAGCTCTAGACTTTGCAAACTGGCTCCTGGCTTCCTTCTTATGTTAATCTTGCTGTTTCTGTCTGCTGTTCCTACTTGCCAGTCACATTAAAAAAGAAATCCTTACTAAGAGAAATGCATCTTCTACTTCCAGGCAGAAAAGGGAAGGGCAAAGAATTGTTTCGTTCTGTGGCTTCTAAGTTGCTTTCAGCTCCAACTAATCCTTATGCCAAAGTGGCATATTCCCTTTCCTGCCCAGCTCAGCTGGTCTTGAACTCCTCATGTAGTCTAGGCTGGCCTTTGAATTCAAGATCCTCCTGCCTCCCTTGCTTATTTTTTTTTTTTCTCTGTGATTAGGTAATCTGCTCCTCTGAAAACACAGTCTTACATGCACAAAAAGGACTGGAACCTTAAACATTAAGTAAGGAAGTCTTTGTATCTCTTTACCAGCTTCTTAGTACTACAGGTACAGCTAGAGGCCATTGTAACCTCCTTTGAGGTTTTCAAGTGTATGGTCTTCATGTCAATTTCTAACTGTTTTTTTTTTTAAGACAGGGTCTTACTATGTAGGTCAAGCTGTTCTGGAACTTCGTATGCACCCCTAAGTTGGCCCTGAACTCCAGCTACATAGTTCTAGAGTATGGTGAAGAAGGGTGTCCCATTAAGACAGCTTGTGTCAATTACTGTAGCTATGTGGGGGGTCTTTGTTTTCTTGCTCATTCTGGGATATATTCATGATAAGTGAAGTGTTCTCAAAATGGACTGGATCAACTTCATGTTCTCGGTACAGCACCCTGTTTTCTTAAATTAAAACATACAACCCTGTACCAAGCATAGTAAAACATACCCTTTAGTTATGTAAAAATTGCTTAGTCAGGAAACTTATCTGATAACCAGAACCCAGTGGTGTCATTCACCCAAGACAACCACACAGACGACTAGACCCGCCCACTGGGCAGTATTTAAACAGAGACCTAGAGCAATGCCCTGCTCTGCACATCTGGAGAGATGCCACCTTGGTCTGCTCTGCATCTGGAGAGGCTCCCCCAGGATCCTGACCCTCGAATCAGAGTCCTGACCTTCAGCTAAGACCCACAGGTGAGCAGCCTTGGGGAGATAGGCTTAGGACGGTAGTTAGGAACTTAGAGTGTGAACCTTGTGTGATGACCCTTAGCATGATAAAATATAACTTTTGCTATACCAACTACGCATAACTACCTGCTTGCTCCCGACAGCCCCCCAAAAAACCCAAACCCCCACCAACAATAACAACAGAAAATCAAACCCAAGAATGCCGCCATTCACCCCTAGCTGGGAAAAACTAGTAGTATTCTGTACTAAGGCAAAAAGCATTTATATCTTACTATTTTTTTTAAAGTAAATTGCTTTCTCTTCTATTTTACTTAGATACTGAGGACCCTGTTCTCCAAAACTCAGTAGATGATTTCCATCTAGCTATTCCAACTTGTAGCTATTAAACTGCTGTTAAAAATTTCAGACTGCGTCCCAATTTGGTCTTTTTTTTTTTTTTTTTTTTTTTTTTTTTGGAAAGCAAAGTAAATAAAGCATCTCATTATACCGGCGTACGAGACCTTGCTCTTGTACATGTCGCCCTTCCCACATATTTTGCAATCAGAATTGTGTTTTCAAAGCTCCAAGCTAAACCAAACACCCGGGTTCTCAAGAGACAGCAGGCCAAGGAATGCTTTCAGCCCGTCCCAATCTCGCCCCTCGAAGCGTGGGACGGGAAGGGCCGCGCCGCAGGAAATAACGGAGGGCGGCCAGAGGTCGGAGCCCAGGCGGCCCCGGGGACGGCCCCGCCTCCCGAGCCCGGCCCCAATCCGGGTACCCGCGCCCATGCGGCTCGGCCCCTTCCGGCTCCTCCCGAAGCGGCGGGTGCCGGGGATGCTGCGCTTTGCGGGGCTCCGCGCCTCCGCAGGCCTGGCCTCCGCGGCCAGTGCCCCCGCCGCCCCGCGCCCCCCGGGCCTTCGCCTCTTCCTCCGCGCCGCGACCATGGAGCGCCCCGCAGCGGGTGAGAGCGAGCGCACCGCCCTGCGCGCCCCGGGCCGCCTCTGCCGTGGGGCGGGCTCGCCGCCCTGCTCCGCCTCCCAGGCCTCCCGCAGCCCCACGCCCCTCGCGTTACTCCCCTCCTGCGCCCCGACACTGCGCTGTGCCTGCAGCCCAGTGCACCCCTCTGCTCAGGGCACCGTGCTTGCTGCGATGCGACCATGGTGCACTACTCCACACCGCCGGTGACGCAGGGTGTGAGCCCACGAGTTGTAGTTTACCTCTTCGGATCTCATGACGCATGACCCAAAGTTTTTGCAACATCCCTCCCTACAGTGTTGGGCGGTAAAAGGAACCAAGAAAAAAAAAAACCCCTCCGTTTCATTTCATTTTATTTTATGGCAAATAGAAACATCTGAACACCATTTTGTATCATTTAGGGTTTTATTCGAAGTTTGGAAATGAGCACTTTAAAACTGGCGCCAATTTGCTGGAGCCCAGAATGAACTTGAGCTCGGGTCAGCTTTTGCTATATGCTGAACTTGGGTAGGAATTAGGGATTGGAGTTTTGAGTGAAAGGAACTAAAAAGTAATTAGGAGAAAAAAGGTGTTCATTAAGATCGTCATATCCTAAATGTATACAAAGCATACGGATATTAAAATATGTTGTACAAACTTGCTAAGTATGTAAATACTTATATGTAAATATAAAGTATGTAAATAGTGTAAATGTGTTTCTAGCTTTCATGTGAATGGAAAGATCCGTATCTTGTGGGGAGATGCCAAAGTGTTCCTGCTTGAGATGACTTTTTTTATGAGATGCAAGGGTATGGATAATAGGACAGACACGGAAGGAGAGAACTCTTTCCACTCATTTACAGTGTGGCTTTGCAGTTTAGGATGTTGTTAGCTTATCTTACATCTTTTCCATACAGTAACAAAGCTTAAGGTGCTTGTCGAAGTTACTGGGTCCTTACTTTAGTGATCTGTCAATCCTTAATAATTTAGATTGTTCCCTTTTCATGATGAGGATGGTTAAGTGGCTTGATTGCCTTGACTTTTAAACATTTCTGGAGACCTGCTATGCTACTGTTAGTAGCTAGTGTGAGTAGCTAGACCACAATGAACGGCAGGCTCTTCTTATAGCTGTTTAGCTCAGGGATCAGAAGAGAGCCTTGCTTACTGGGGCTGTATATCACTGTTCAGATATGAAGCCTGTTTTGTATGTCTTAGGCAGGCTGTCTTTATGTTTTTTGTTCGCTTGACTTTGATGATAATCATTGGCTGAAGTGGACCTGTGATTTGAATATTTGATTGCAGTCAGGTGATATTTTAGAAGACACTTTAAATACTGACATTGACAGTTTTCCATATAAAAGTAACATTCAGTTTAAAAACAATTTAGTACAGCACTTGGAAAGTGTTTAGCATTCAGAAGTACTTTTTAGCCTTAATCCTTCCTCTTTCTAACTGTAAATCTTGAGTGCATACAGTTTTCCCTCTTCTTTTTGTTTGTTTGTTTGTTTGTTTTTTGGTTTTTCGAGACAGGATTTCTCTGTATTGTTTTGGAGGCTGTCCTGGAACTCACTCGGTAGACCAGGCTGGCCTCGAACTCACAGAGACCTGCCTACCTCTGCCTCCCGAGTGCTGGGATTAAAGGCGTGCGCCACCAACGCTCAGCTTCCCTCTGCTTTTTAATTAATCTTACATTTGTCTGTTTTTGTAATGCTGGGGACCAAGCCTGGAGCTTTGTGCACACTATGTCTACCAGAGCTATACCCTTGACCTCAAATCTTTTATTTTCTTGCTTTGTTTTTTTTAAAGATTTATTTATTTATTATATATATAGTATTATGCCTGCATGTCTGCCTGCAGGCCAGAAGAGGGCACCAGATCTTATTGCAGATGGTTGTGAGCCACCATGTGGTTGCTGGGACTAGAACTTAGGACCTCTGGAAGAGCTGCCAGTGCACTTAACCTCTGAGCCATCTCCCCAGCCCCCACATACCTGTCTGTGTGAGAGTCACCTTTCCCCTGTTGTTATACTCATCATATCTGTTGTTGCCAGTCACCAGAGTTGAGCATGTAGAGTTTCTCTATTCGGCATTTAAGTGACTCCCCCTTTTCTTTTTCCTTCAAGCAAGGTTGTGAGGAGTCTGCTAAGTGTATATGACAGAAACCCACATTAGACCATCTTCTTGCTCATGTCCTATTGGCACATTGCTTTCTGAAAGATCTGCCTCAGTTTACAGTGCTGCAGTCAGTACATGGTAGGGTATATGGTACAGGGCCTAGTTGATTCTGGAAATTGTGGGTCATGTAACAGAGCCACTTGATCCAGATGGCAGCTCCTGAATCTACACTTTGCTCGTGGGCAAGAGACTGAATCATCTGGCTGGCGCTACAATAGTCTTCCCTGATAGCATAGTTGTATCAATTAAGTGATTACTTCCCAAAGTGCTCTTAGTTGAATGTGCCCAGCATAAAATACCTGTTTAAGTGTTGGTTAGTATTAGTAATGCTAATTTTAAGTTTCCATTCATCTTTGTTATTAGTGTAACATTTGCCCTGTGGTTGTTTGAATTTGTGCAAAAGATAAATTTTGTTTTAATTAATGACAGAACTAATTTTGGGTGACTAATTTTTTTGTGCCATTGTAGCTCAGGCAAAGGGTAACCGGTTTTCCTGCTTTTGCCTCCTAGTGCTGGGATTGTAGGTATGACTCAACATGCCTGGCTTAGGTGACTTTATTTATTTACTTTGTAGAGTTGAATCTCAGCCTGGTGCCTAGTAAACAAGGGCTCTCATGGTGGTCTATCCCAAGCTTCATTAACTTTGAATTTGAGACAAAAATCTCACTAAGTTACTTGTATAGGGTGCTTCTGAATGTACAGTCCTGTCTCAGCCCCCCAAATACCTGGGGTTACAGGCCCATGCTACCAGGCCCAGCATATTTAAGCAACATATCAGTTACAACAATGAATTTACCTCTGACATGCTTAAGGACCAACTGGTTGAAGGCAGTTTTTCTGAAGTGAAGTCTTTACACCTTGCATAAGAGAAAGTGTAGTTGTGATGGATGTATTTAGTTATATCCCTCAGCCTTTGCCCAAATCCTAGCACTTATGACCTGGAGCAAGACAGCCTGTAAGAGGAAAATAGGCCTTAAAATATAACTAGCCTGCTGAACATCATTGCTTAGCAACACAGACTACTCTAGAGTATTGATTCTTTCATCTCAAGATCCTGGGGCCACCTGGAAGCTGGTACTTACTGCCAGCATCACAAGAGGGGGATGGACCTCGTTTCCCCAGTCTGGGAAGAGATCAACACTCAGATCTGAATATATCTCCTCAATGTTCACTGCTTTCCTGAATAGCTGTCAGGAAGGAAGTTGAACAGGTGACAAGATTCTGACCGTATCCCTCAGACTCAGGAGACTGTACCCACCCCACTCCCTGCCTCCTCATCTCTGAGAGGCTGAACCCATCCGATGCCCTGCCTCCTTGGCTCTGAGAGGTTCCCTCTAGTCAGAGTAGTAGAAATGATAGCCAGCTTTTGCACCACCGTGAGGTTGAAAAGTTGTACTTGAAGCCATTGTAAGTCAGGAATTTTCCACATGGCACATAGACTCAGGAAATAGTATTGACATGCTAGTATCATACTGGGACTGTTAGCTATCACTAAATGATCAGATTGAGAAAAAATTAGGAGAGTCATAGTTGGGTTTACTTTCATTCGGATTTCTATGTTGTCTTTATATATGTTGTGGGTAGTACATAGGTAATATGTTTAATTGTATAAGCACTTAAATATTTCTTTATTATTGATATTGTTATTTTGAGTTACAGTCTTAATCTGTAGCCCAGGATGGCTTTGAACTCAGTGTTCTTCTGTTTGCTGGGATTAGAGGCATGTATGTGTTCCCATGCTTGGCTTACAAGTGCTCTTTTGTTAAAAGCTTTTTGTATTTAAGCTGCCTTTTGGGTGATGGTCCTCTACATGAAGCTGCCTGTAAAAAGATTCAACATGCATATTGATCTCTTTAAACTTTTAAGTCTAAACTGCACTTGTGTTTCAAAATTCTAGCATAGACATAGAAAGCTAACATTTTCAAGTGAGTAGACCCATAGTAATCTAAAATTTGTTGAACATGTGTGTACCACATACTCTGTCTTAATTAATTTCCCATTGCTATAAGGAGACATCATGACCAAAGCTGCTTATAAAAGAAAATGTTTAATTGGGGCCTTGCTTATGGTTTCAGGGAGTGAATAATACATGACCATTATCTCAGCGAGCAGGGCAGCAGGCAGGCAGGCAGGCAGGCATGCCTGGTGCTGGAACGGGAGCTGAGAGCTTATATGTTTAGACAATAACCATGACGCAGAGAGGGAGGGAGGGAAGAAAGGAGGGGGGAGGGACAGGACAGACAGGGACAGGGACAGGGAGAGGGAGGGAGGGAGGCAGAGACAGAGAGAGAGAGAGAGAGAGAGAGACACATGGCACCCTAATTGAGAGTGGCATGGCATGGGTTTTGAAACCTCAAACCACTCTTGGTGTCATATCTCCAGAAAGGCTGTACTTCCTAATCCTTTCCAAACAGTGCTACCAAATAGGGACAAACCACCACGGTGTGTCATACTTCTTAAAGTCCGAATTGTATAAATAGCATTATTAAGAATGTATTTTTAGCTGGGTGTTGGTAGCGCACGCCTTTAATCCCAGCACTCTGGAGGCAGAGGCAGGCAGATCTCCGTGAGTTTGAGACCAACCTGGTCTACCTAGCGAGTTCCAGGACAGCCTCCAAAACAATACAGAGAAACCCTGTCTCGAAAAAAAAAGAATGTATTTTCAGTGTTTTTTTGATAGCGAACATGATTGAAAAGGATACTGTCATTTTTTAAAATCCAGAAAATAGTTGTGTGTGAATAATTTTAGAAATCACTCAAATTGTAATGAAAATGTGTATTTTTAGTATGCATATTAACTATAAATGAGAATTATTACTATATTGTGAAATACATGATATACATTTTTAAAAGTACTGGAGCCTTAAACTTTGCTAGGAATGCACTGTACTGCTGACCCTATATCCCCAACCTTCTGTTTTACTTTTTGTCTGCCTGGAGGAGGAGAAGGTAGAGGAGGTAGAGTATACATTTTAAAACCAAGACCAGTGGTGCCCAGGCTGGCATTGAACTCACGCTGTGGCAAAGACTTGAAGCTGAGATCATCCTCCTTAGTCTCCTAATCACTAGGACACAGGCCTAGATAGTCCCAGTTTGCAGGTCATATTCTTTTTTTTGTTTGTTTGTTTGTTTTACTTATTAAAATTTTGGGGGTGCTAGGGATTGAAACTAGGGCCTTATTCACATGAGATACTATTCTTCTGAACTACTTCCCTGATACCCTATAAGTCATGTATTATATATATGTATGATTCATTTATAATGTGTGTGTGTATGTATGTGTATATGCACATGCACATGCAAGTGCTCCTGAATGTGTGTATGGTGCAGTATCCAGGTGCCTAAAGAGGCTAGAAGAGAGTGTGAAATTTCAAGAACTGGAGTTACAGGCAGTGGGTGAGTTTCCAGATGTGGGTGCTTGGAGCTAGACACTGGGAAATGAACCCTGGTCCTCTGGAAGGGCAACAAGCGCTGTTACTCATTGAGCCATCTCTCCAGCCCTGTAAGGTACCACCTCATCCTCCTTCAGATTTATTGTTTTTGTGTGGCTGTTTTGCCTGTGTGTTCTGTCTGTGTACTAGACACTTGCAGTGCCTTAAGAGGTCAGGAGAAGGTCTTGGATACTTTGCAACTGTAATTAACAGATTGCTGTGAGCCGTGTGGGTGCTGGGAACTGAACCCAGGTCCTCTGGAAGGGCAGCAAGTTCTCTTAACTCCTAAGCCATCTCTTCAGCCATGTAAACTATATTCTTAATGGAATGCGTTTTGCAATTATTGCATTTGAAAATATAGAGGATTACAACAGAAGGAGATGTATGTTTTCTTTAATACTCTGCAGGGCAAGTTAGTTTTCATTGATTACACTGGGTGAAAATTATGTGAGTATTCCTGGGTTTTGTTCAGCCCAAATAACTTTTTTTGTCTGCTACTTGAGGCATGGTGAGTAATGGTACCGGGGAGACCACCAACAGATAAACTTAGCAATTAACTTTATCACTTCAAGTCTTCTTTTCCTAAGCCCTCCAACCACTACAATGTGGGTATTCCACCTACAACAAGCAAACAAAGACCAAATGTGAAATGTGCCTTAGTGTATGGCTTGGGAGGGCTGTTACAAAATACTGTGAGGATGATTTGATTCTCACAGCTGAATTTCAAGAAATGAATATTTAGAGTCATGTATTTAGAATCGCTTGTGTATGTGGGAGGGCATGCATGCCATGGCCTATGTATGGAGGTCAGGGAACGATTAGAATTGGTTTTCTCCACCTTTGCATGGGTAATGGGGATCCAATGCAGGTTGCCAGACCTTCCTGGCAAAAGCTTTTACCTGTCTCACTGGCTCCTAGAGTCAAGTATTTTTAACTAGAGTTCCAGTGTTAAGTTTAATGGTGGAGTGGAAGAGTTTATGGAAGGGGGAAATAAAGACGGAGCTTATAGAAATTAGAACACAAAATGTGAGTGAGAAGGGATGAGAGGGTAAAGTGTGTGTGTGTGGGGAGGGACCATGATCAAAATAGACGACACTCACATATGAAAATGTCACAATGAAAAACTTGTAACGTGTAATTAATATATGCTAAAAAGACAACACTAAATGAAGTGTTTTTAAAGTCCCCTGTATTATTAAACACGAGAAGAGCGTAACAAGTGAACAGACACCACACTTCATTGGTTTGTTGTCGAAAGATGTGAAAAAATATGGCTTTTAAAGATGGAGAATGATTGACTTTCTCTCTTGTCATCCAGGCCCCACTGAACACTGTGCGTTAGAAAAAAGCTTCCTAAAGATGCATGTTTAAAAACAAGACTGTGTTAAAAGAGCAAGTCACCACCTCTTTATGCAGGCTGCTATGCATTGTGCACGTAGCTGAGGTGTTTTGTTTTCTGGGTAGGAGTTTGACAATAACAATTTAATAATATTTGTTGTTGTTCTTTCTCGTTTGTTGTAGGAGAAATAAATTCCAACCAGTGTGAAAGTGTGCTAAGAGAAGAGAAGGTGTCAGGGGAACTAAAAGCCAGCACTGTAGATTCTCTGACAGACATGCCATTTGCTACTGTAGATATTCGAGATGACTGTGGAAGTAAGTACTGTATTATTTAAAGACATCCTTGGAAGCAGTGGACGGTACATTTATGCATGCATTTCATCTTTATCTCATTTTAAACTCTTGTCATGCTTTTGAGTGCTAACTGTTATCTGATACGTTGTTGTCAAAGCTGTCACAGGTAATAAGAAATGGCTCACATAAACACACATACACAGACACACACACGCATATTAAAAAGAAATGGCTCACAAAATTTTGGATCAGAGCATTTTGTGATTACTTCTGAAAGTCATGGATCTGGGAGATAATTTCATGACTTATAATGACCCACTTTATTTCTTTAGAGCCACTTGCAATTTCAGAAGTACCTACTCACTCATGTGTAAATGGTTAATGACCTTTGGGTGTATATAGGCACTTTGCTGTGCATTGAGAGCATCCGTCCACCCATCCATGAACCAGACAGGCATTATCAATTCTTTGTCCCTTAGAGCTTCATCTACAAACTTTATGTAACCAATATTTTATTGAAACACTAAAACAGAAATTTTATGTCACTGTGGAAACAGAACTATACATGATGGCTGGGATGCTGTCCTCTACAAAAGTGACAGATTTTTGTGTAATCCAGGAAAAGATGAAAACTGTTTACTGTTCAGCTGTAGGTACTTCTGATCCATCCATATCTTACCCATATTTAATATATCTGAGCAACTTACAGTAGGTGTGAGTAATGAGCTCCTTCCAGGATTCCAGAGAGCAGTGTTCTGTATGACCACCATGCACCAGGAAGGATGGGTGCTTTGGGACTGTGCTTTGAAAAGGATGGCTGATTCTGCTCAGGGTGGGGCCTTGGGAAGGATGGCCCTTTATGCAAGCAGGATTTTTTGGGGGGGACAGGATTTGGTATAGTTTTTATTAGAGTAGTGGTGAATGTAAATGCCCTGTATAAAATGGACCTTAGGCCAGTCTCCTGAAATCTGTTCTTTACTGTGGAGTATTATAGTATGCTTTGATATTGTGGGTCTTGGAGCTTTAAAACTATTTGAATGTTAGCCTATATTCCAGAGTACAGAGTGGAAGATTTCTTCTGTGGGAAGATGGGTTTCAGATTCTAAGTTCCAGTTCATCCAGTGGCTTAGGGGAGAAACAGGACTGTGTGTTCAGTTTTGATTATTGAATTTTCTCCTTGTGTGACTTTAGTCATTTAAACTGTGTGAGTGAGACTTTAACTGTCAAATGCAGATTGTAATTCCTTCCTGTTTAGTTCATATTGATGCCGTACAGATCAAAAGACAAAATGTGTATAAGAAAGGAGTTAAACATACAATGGTGTACAGGTGTTTCTTTATAAAACCTTTCTTTCCTTGTGTGTGTGTGTGTGTGTGTGTACAGTTGTGTGTGCTGGTACACATGTGTGCATGTGGAGGCTGGACAATCACATTTCTACCTTAGTTTTTTGGAGACACAGTCTCTCATTGATCCTGCAGCTCACAGATTCAGCTGGGCTGGCTGTGTAGGAAGCCCTAGGCTTGTCCCTGCCTCCCATCCCTGGGGTCACAGTCATATCCTGCTGTGCATGACATTGATGTGGTGCCCAGGTTTAAATGCTGGGCCCTATGCTTCTACAAAAAGCACTTTCCCCGTGGGGCCATCTCCCCAGCCCCTATGAAACCTTTAAATGTAACTCTGAGTTATTTGACTGCAACTTCTCTCTTTTGTTTTTTTCAAGATAGGGTTTCTCTGTGTAGCTCTGGCTGTCCTGGAACTCCCTCCGTAGAAAAGGCTGGCCTTGAACTCACAGAGATCTGTCTGTGTCTGCCCCCTGAATGCTGGGATTAAAGATGTGTGCCCCTATCTCTTACTTTTAATACTAGCTTCCTCCATGCAATATAAAGAAAAATAATTTGTTAACTAGTTAACTAGAAATTTTTAAACTTTTTTTGTGTATGTGTGTTTAGTAGGAGTTTTATATAAATACATAAGAACTAGGAGGTTTGCCCTAGTTTGAGTGAGGAGAGCATGAGGACTTAATGGTTTCTTCTCTTGATGAGAGAAGCACATTGTGGCTCAACTGGCTACAGACCCAGAAAGCATCCCAGAAAATGTTTGGAGTTGCTGTTCTTTGCCTCTGACAGTGGAGTGGGAGTTAGCATGGGAGAGTCATTTTGCTGATAGGAATAGCCCAGCCAGCTTCCCACAGGAGATGTGGGAGAGAGAGCTTTAGTTTCACTGATTCTAGTCACATGAGATTGTCAATTCTGAACAATCAAGCGACATTTTAAGAATTATATTTTTTTGTGTGAGTATGTATACATGTATGTAGGTAGATAGGTATATGTATGAGTGTGTGCATGCCAAAACACACATGTAGAAGTCAGAGGGCAACTTCAGGGAATCTGTTCTCTTTCTCCACTGTATAAGTCCTGGGAATTGAACTCAGATCATCAGGCTTGGTGGATAGCAATCATACCTGTGGAACTATCTCTCTAGTCCTAAGCCACATTTAAGTCAAGATCCAAAAGAAGATATTTGAGAGTTGGGTTTTAGTTACATGTGAAATTCAGTTCTATGGAAATTTCTAATCCTTGTTTTATACCCTCAAAATTCCTTTTGTTTATTGGTGTGTATATTGTAAGACTTGAGTGTCTTGGAGCTCAGAGTGGCTTTGAAATCATTATGTAGCTGAAGCCGACCTTGAATTTGTGGTCTGCTTGCCCTCGTCAACCTTGGAACGTAATCATGCATTGCAGTGCTGGGCATCCTCAGTGAGTTCTGATACCACCTTTGGAGATTTTTAAGATAGAGGAAATTACCATCTTATTATCTATTCATTAGTTAAGTTATATTTTTAAACATTTAAAACATAAAATAAAAATTCATCTAAAATTTTTGTATATATACAGACATCAGTGATTATTCTGTGTCAGTTAAAAGAGGTAAATTGCATTCTGTGTCCATTATATTATTAATTGGGAAGGCAAATGCTGTGTATAGTGATGTGTCATGAATAATGCATGAATGTGTGCTTTATTTTTTATAACATAATTCTTTATCGAGTCTTTGGAATTTCACATCACGCAATCCATTCCCACTTATTGCCCAGTTCGTCCATATCTTCCCCTCACCCTACAGCATCTCCCCTCAAAGCTCCCCCAAATAAATTAAAAACAGAACAACACACACACACACACACACACACCCTATACACACACACACCTTACACACACACCCACACACACTGTACACATACATATACACACACCCTACACACACACACATACACACACCCTACACATACACACACACACACCCTACACACACACACACACCCTACACACACACACACACCCTACACACACCCCCCCACACCCTACACACACACCCTACACACACATACACCCTACATACACACACACACCCTACACACACACCCTATACACACACACACCCTACACACACACACACACACACACACACACACACACCCCACCACCACCACCACAGTGATCCTCTTTGCTTTCAACACCTCTTCATTCATCCTAGTAGCATCAGGAGCTGCAGTGTGTCACACAGTATACCCTTTTGTCCAATCAGCTCCAACCACAAAATGTTCATTGCAATGAGTCATTTGGTCTCGTTCAAGTCCTCTGGAACACCATCATCATTGGACCCTCGCCAAACTCCTCTCATATATCCTGCTGTTGCCTTGAGTCATGGAGATCTTATCAGCAGGACCAGTCCCTTAACATACTCTAATGGACCATTGATGGTGTAGATGTTGGGGGGGGGCGACAATCCAATAGGCTGTTATTTTTTTGTTTGTCCAAACATCATAGAGAATGCTACAGACTAAGATGACTGTGATATCATTTGGTCATTTTTGTTTTGTTTTAAAGATAGTACCTCCATGTGTAGCCCAGGTTGGCTTTGAACTCAGTAAATTTCCTGCCTCAGTCTTCCCAAGTGTTGGAATTGCAGGTGAGCATAGCCACCCCCAGGCCATTGAAAGACTTTTATCTGCTTAGATAATTAGAAAGGAAATATCAAAACAAACTCTCATTCATTCCCAGCATTTTAATGAAGAACAAGTGTGGAAACAATCAACCCACAATAACAGATGGAGTACTTAATTAAATTAAATTAATTTCTCTTCTAATTCACTCCTTTGTAGTTTTGAATGAATAAATAGGATTGAGGAAAAATTAGATAATTTACATAAGTTGACACGTGGTGCTTTAGTTAAAAAAAAAATCTGTGGTTGAGAAAGCAACAGCCCTTGTCAATGACATCAAGTTTATCAGTGCACATTAAATGGCTACTGAAGTCATTATAAATATTAACAAGTATAATAAATTAAGTTTATGAGTTTACAAGCTGTACTTCCACGGATGCCTTTTTGCTAACCAGCAAAATTACTATAAATAATCTGATAAAAGATCCAGGGCAGACGGCCAAAGTTGTCTGCATTTTGTGACTTTAAGCCACCAATTTTATCAGTAAGCTAGATGAGTATGTAAATATTTACTTTTTTATATTTTCATGTGAAAGCAAGTAAACGTAGTAACAGCAAATTGTCCTTCAGAACACAGACTGTGTTCCCAAAGTTGGAAGGAAAATGAAGTGAGGGAGCGAGAAAGCAGAGAGATACTGTGTTTTGGTTCTACTGATAAACTTGGTAAATAACACGCAGACTCTAAATAAGAGAAAACATGACAGCGGCTCACAGTGTTACAGGCTGATTATGTCAACAGCATACTGGACTAAAGCGAGAAAACCCAAAGATCTCTACAGGGGTGTAAAACCATACCATGTATACACACGAGTGATTATTTTTTAGAATAATAGTTCTTTGACTTCTCTAGAGGTAACTGAATTCTGGTATTAATTTTTTCTTTTTGGAATCATTATGAACTGATGGATTTGATCATATCTGATAAAATTCACACTACTAATTTGTTAGTCAGTTTGATGCCCACATCGCCTCGTCTTTAGCCAATGGAAGATGTTTGAATTGACATTAGAGCCTGTCTGACATGATCCACTTGCTACAATTTAGATCATGAATATCCACAGTGGCCTGAGTATTCAAGCACCAGTGTGGCTGGGAAGGGCACACTGCTAGGAGGAAGTGGGCTAGCAGAGGAAGTTAGGTCACAGGGAATGGATGAAATAAGCGAACACAAATCAACCAACCAACAATCCACTTTCTTAGTGCAGAAAGAGCGTGGCATCAGACATAATGGCTCGTGCTCATAGTCCTGAACTTGAGGGGCTAAGGAAGGGGAATTAGTTTACATAGCAAGACCCTTCCTCAAAAAACAAAACAAAGCAAAAACAATGAGGAAAACAAAACCAAAAAACCTCTGGCAAGAGAATGCTTGCTAGAATGCTGCCTTGACCTCCTTTTGTAAATAAAGTTTTATTGGGACACAGCTATATTCTTTCATTTGTTTTGTCAGAATTAGATAGCTGCAACACAGACCCTATGGTCTGCAAAACTTAAACCATTTACGATGGGAGTTCTTGCTGACTCCTGCTTTAGATTTGAAAATAACAGTTATACATGATCGCTGCTTATTATGTATACTGTATGGCTTCTTCCTTTTTAAACTAGACTATCTTTGTTTAAATGTGTGAGACACTTTCACACTTTGCTTTGTTTTCCTCTAGTCACTGACGTACCTCAAATGAATTCAAAGAGAAGCAAAGAGAAAGAAGGCATCAAGAATGATCACATAAAGAAGAGGAAGAAAGCCCTGAAAGATTATCAACCCAACTATTTCTTGTCTGTTCCGATCACCAACAAAAAGGTGATAGCCTCTTAAGAACCTTTTTACTTTGAAGTTTTGTTGTAAACTATCTTTAAAATATATTAAAGGTTTGTCGATCCACTTGCTTTGAGATTCTAGAAATATTTGGTAACATTTTAGTAGGACTGTGTTGGGAAAGATCTCATTTAAATTATAGAAAGTTGTTGATCTAATAGTTTTGAAAAAATAATTATGTGAATAATCATATTTAATAATAACATGGCCAGGTGGGACCCAGACCAGACCCTTGGAGACCAAGTACACAGTAGTCAGTGACTTCCCTGAAAACTCATGACTTGTGACCAGAAGCCAGGCTTTTTTTTGTTTTGTTTTGATTTGTTGCTTAGAGATCCTTGCATTAGAGTCACCCAGTGTGTTCATATATGAGGGTAATCAGGCTATGCTGTCAGCCCACTGACCACCAGGGTTGATTTGGTTGATCTAAAAGCCATACTCACAGGTCCATGTCAAGATCATTCCCAGAGTCTCGCTCAGTGTGTTGGAGGTGGCCTTTAGAAGCAAGGAGCAATGAGCCTGTGGGAAAAACAGAACTCAGAAGCCTGGGGTGAGGTGGGGTGGGGTGGGGTGGGGGTGTGTGGGGGAGAGTGGGGGTGTGTGGGGGAGGGTGGGGGAGGGTGGGGGAGGGTGGGGGAGGGTAGGAAATGGAGCTTCTTGCTTCTCAGGCCTTCATATGATGGGGATCATGGCATCGTCGTTTCTTAAAACATTCTTCATTGCTGTGTAGGTTGAGTATCCCTTGCTTAAAATGCCAGAGACCAGGAATGTGACACATTTTAGACAGTTTTTTATTTGGACTAGTCAGGTATTTGTATGTGTATGATGAATCTTGGGATGAGATCCAAGTCTAAGCAGGAACATTTGTTTTCCACACTTACCTTCTTCACATATCCTGAAGGTAATTTAATGTATGGTTTCTAGTGCTTCTGGGTGTTGATTACAACCATATGATGTCAGATGTGAAAATTTTCCCCTTGCATTGTAGTTTGGATTTGTGGAGCATTTTAGATTTTATGCTTTTGGATTAGGAATACTCAGCCTGTTCCAATTTAAGATTGCATGTCAAACTCAGTATAAAAATATTAAAATCTAAAAAAAAATCAATGATGTGTAAGTAGTAGAAAATGGGACTAGCCAATGATCTTATACTGAGATATTTTTAAGATAGAAAAAAAAAGTACTGTATCCAACTGAAGCTAATGTCAGTGACATGGGCATGAAAACACAGGGGAAGAATACTTCTTTCACAAGACTGCCTTTACATCTTAGCGTAAGGTCAGGGCCAGATCCAAATCTCATTGTGAGTCTAGAATACTCTCTTTGACTAGACCAGTGGTTCTCAACCTGGGGGTTTCAACCTCTTTAGGAGTCAAATGAACCTTTCACAGGGATTGCCTAACACAGATATTTATATTGTGATTCATAACTAGCAAAACACAGATATTTATATTGTGATTCATAACTAGCAAAATTACAGTTATAAAGTAGCAATGAAAATAATTGTAGGGTTGGGGTCACCACAACATGAGGGACTGTGTTAAAGGATCACAGCATCAGGAAGGTTGGGAACCATTGGACTAGGCACTGTTTTAGTGTTGTTGAGGATCAAACCCAGGGTCCTATATTTGCTAGGTAAATGCTCTGCCACTAAGCTATAATCCCAGCCCTGTTAAGAATTTTAAGTCAAATAAATAAATGTCAGGAAAAAAAAACAACCAAGTTTTTTTGGGTTATCCTAGGAAATACCTCGCCTTTGAGATCAGAGTGTAACTAGAGAGAAGATCCAATAAGGAGGGAACAGTGAGCTTAGATTCATGTTCTGGTTTTACTGGCAGTAAGGTGGTCCTTGGACGTGTTTAGGTGACACACAGCTTAGAGCATGAGCTACTGCACATCATCTTCAGATGATTGTCTGTTGCTTGCAGTGGCTTCCTCTTGCTGTAGGACTGTGTACACATGGACATTAGGCGAGATCGGGAAGTGATGCTCACTCTGATGCTTTGGGGGCAGCCAGATGGAAGCCAGGCCTGGGGGAGGAGACCAAATGGTAGACAGCTGGAGTGACTTCCCTGAAGACACATGACTTCTGTCTAGCAGAGAAGCCAGGTTTTTGTTTTGTTTTGATTCGTTGCTTAGAGATCATTCCACTAAAGAGTCTCCCAATGGGTTTAGGTATGAGGGTAGTCAGGTTGGGATATCTGTTAGCTCATTGATGGCCAGGGTTGGTTTGACTAATCTAGTTGGATAGGCAGGTGTCTCTTCCTCCATCACGACCCCAGCTGCATCCCTTCCAAAGCTGTGTAGTTGGAAAAAAAAAAAAAGAACACCTTCCCTGATGGAGGAGGACTGGTCTTTGTCAAGGGTATATGAGTAGCTGTGTACCCCTTGTAGAACCTTCAAGCAAGCTCTCAATGTGCTTGATTTGGAATTCTCTGCTGTAACTAGGCATTTTATTGTTTAATTATACCAGTGACTGGACCTAGAGGGCCTCGTAAATGTTAGGCATGTGCTGTACCACTAAACTAAATCTCCAGCACTCTTCTTACATGCTCCTTATTGAGAGAGGGCCTCACTCAGTTGTTCAGGCTGGCCTTGGGCCGGTGATCTCCCTGCTTCAGCCTGCTGAGTAGCTGGGATTCCAGGCGTAGGCCCAGAAGGCCATTGGGTTTATATTTCTCCCTTTATGCTTTGTTCTTTGTATCTGTCATAGGGTGTCTCTATCCCCTCGATGCCAGTGCTTGATTCCTCTGCTTTTGCAGTGAGGGTTGATGGGAGATGTGGTAGGATACAGAACATGGAGAAGGGGACCAAGTGGAATAAGGCAGAGACACTCTTTCCGTCTTCCACTAGGATTTGGTCCACAGGGCATGTGGGAGGAAGGATGATGGAGTCCTGTATGGCTTGGAGTTCACAGACCTAGTAACTTGTTACCTGCCTTACAAACTCTACTGGTTCAGGTAACTAGATTATTTGAGTTTCAGCTTGGTCAGGGGATAGCCCTAACCTCAGATGTTCATTTTTCTAGGCTCCATGCTGAACATACCACCCACCTGCTTACTTCAGGCTTTTCCCATTGACACTAGGATAGAGATGTACTCCCAACCCTCTTCTTTAAAGATGGCTGTTCTGGTCTTCTACACTTCAGTCCTTCTTTCTCTTTGAGCCTCTCTTGCCTTCTTGACCTTCACCTCCCCTAATCTCATTCCATTCCTTAGTTAAAGGTCGTTATGGTTTCTGGTTGTCACTTGTCATTATTGCAGTTTAATTGTTTTCCCCACAAAAAGTTTTATTGTATTCTCTGTGCCTAGACTGGTGCTTTCCAGGAAGAGGTGGGTGCATGCATTTGCACACACAGTCTCCATTCCCTCTGTCATTTCAGGGACCTAAGAGCAATCCCACCATACCAAACTATAATTAGAACTCTTTTTTTTAAGTGTGGTGCTGGGGTTAAACCCAGGGCCTCACATATACTAGACAAATGTTTCAGTCCTAGCCCCCAAAGTCTTAAGAATAATAAGTACAAATGCTGATTTTGTAATGTAATATCAGTGGCACATTTTTTTTAGAGAGGGTAGTGTCTTATAGCTATGGGAAGTGCAGCTTAATTTAATGCTGTTGTCTTGGGAGACTTACTTTTTGGGAGCAGCAAGTTTATGAGGCTTACATACAAACATGGGGAGAAGATGTAAGAATTGGACAAGAATGGCTGGGCGTTGGTGGCCCACGCCTTTAATCCCAGCACTTGAGAGGCAGAGGTAGGCAAATCTCTAAGTTTGAGGCCAGCCTGGTCTACTGAGCAAGTGCCAGGATAGGCTCCAAAGCTATACAGGGAAACCGTCTCGAAAAACAAACAAACAAAAACAAAACAAACAAAAAAGAATTAGACAAGAGGAGGACATATGAATCAATTCTTTTGCTGGGAGTTTTTTGTGTTTGTCTGTTTCAAAGTATCTAATGTTCATTTTCTTTTTTAACGATTTAAGAGACTGGGTAGGAAGGCCTGGGAAAGAAGGACCGTTTGTCACATTGTTTCAATGGAAGAATGTATTCCAAGTTCCAGTTTAGTGACCTGCAAACAGGCGCTTGGAAGCCAGTGCATTCTCAATGAGTTGCTCTACTTTTGGCCTCAGCTTCTTGGCACTCAGTTTTAAAGAAAAAAGAGAAAGCATTCAGAATTACATGGCTCCTTGATTTTAAACATGTTTTTCGTAGTTTAGAATTCTTTGTTATGGAAATTTTTAATTTCATATTTTTATGAAATAGGGGCAGAAAATATGTTAGAATGTCAGTGAGGTAATATCCTAGCTGGTAGTATAGGAATATGTGCTTTGCCGTTTATATGTCATTACATACTAGTTTAAAAGAAGGAAAAAATTGATGGCTTACAATAAAGCTTGCCCTTTAATGGCTATGTCTGTGTAATTATTTATCTGGCTGCTGACCATGTGCGCTTTTATGTGCTTTCATAGGAGAGGTAATACCTTGTTGGCTGTCTAGTAGCTGAGATTACTGACTCTTAAAGAGAAATTTTGGCTCCCAGGTTTGGAAGTTGTAGGCCTTGATGGCTTGGCATTACTTTTGGGGCCTAAGGCGAGGTTACACCTCATGCTTGGAGCCTGTGGTGGAATAAAACTTCTCTCTTGGCAGGAGATAGAAGACTGAACTTGGGTTCAGAAACAGTCATCCACTGACTTCTTACTAGGCTCTCAAGGAATCACAGCTCAGAAACGCCACCCTGGGGACTAAAGCCACTGACGCATGGGCCCCCTTTGGGGGACATTCATGATCCAAACTATTGTAAACAAATCAGCATTGAAAGACATGTGAGAACTCAAGAGAAGCTGCTGAAATTAGAAGTATACTAACTTTAGGATAAGTGTTTTGTATGCTGATGGGCAAACTTCCTCCAGGACTTTTTAAAGCATTTACTGCTATGCCTCTTCACTTTTGTAATGGGAAAGTTGCTAGTCTTAATGAAAGCA